TTTTTCTGCACAATTTGCTGACATAGTCTTCGCCTGCGATTTCTTCACCAGGTGGACAGTCGAACATCAAATCGCAAGGCATACACTACTCCCGACCCATGATTACGCTGACTGGAGTCTGACCAGTCGATTCATGAACAGAAGAAGGATATGTCATGAGAAACAGATGAAGACATTAATCCCAATCTGTTTGTTGGTCAGAGACGACCTTGGCCAAATGACGATTGATAGTTCTGTTCATCTCTTCAACCATACGATCGGACTGCGGGTGTAATGCAGTGGTTCTCGTTTTTCGAATTTTCAAGATAGCACATACTTTCTGGAATAACATCGACTCGAATTTCCTGCCCTGATCCGAGTATAGCTCTTGGGACGCCAAAACGGCATATCCATTCTCTGATCAATGCGTCAGCGATAGTAGTAGCCTCTTGGTTGGGCAAGGCGAACGCTTCAGCCCACTTACTAAAGTATTCCATTACTACAGCAATGTTTTTATTTCCATCGTCAGATTCCGGGAAGGGCCCTGCAACATCGATGGCGATCCTTTCAAATGGGCAGCCCACATTGTATTGACGCATGGATGCTTCCGGGCATTTCTGCGGCCCATTACTGGCTGCACAAGTTGCGCATTTCTTACACCATTCTTTGACATCTGCTTGGCAATTCACCCAGTAAAAAACGCTCTCTCAGCCTCCCAACAGTACTTGTGACTCCAACGTGTCCTCCCGTAATGCATTTGATTGCCAAGCATCATTAACCACCGTTGTCCTGTGGACCGTGGCTTCTTTCTCCTCAGCTCTGTAATAGTGTTGGCAGGGTTCCGGCCAGGGTCTTCTTGACAAAGCGTCCGCGTTATTATGTGTTTTACCGGCACGATGTTCTGTATCATAGTCAAACTCTTGTAGTCTTTCAGCATGGTCAGTCCTCAGCAAAAACTTTCTTCCGTAAAGGTACTTATAAAAATGTTCTACTCCTTTGATTACTGCTAGGAGTTCTCTTCTTATAACACAGTAGTTACGTTCTGATTTTGATAAAGTTTCACTGAAGTAAGCTATGACCTTCTCCCTGTTGGATCTGAGATAAGACAGCGCCTAGCCCCACATTGCTGGCGTCGGTATCCGAAATGAACTTTCCCTCTGAAAGCGGATATCCTAGAGTTGGTGCTCTGGTTAAAGCCTGCTTCAACTACTGAGGAAAATCCTGGCAGTCTTGGTCCCATTGAAAACTATTTTGCCTTTCCGTGAGCCTAGTGAAACTGCCTTCACCTTCTGATGATCCACGGCTACTCCTTGACCAAAGACTACATGAGCAAGGTACCGAACTTCTTCTTGAAAAAAGTGACATTTCTTCGGGCTGAGCTTCAAACCGTAACTGCCTAGTCTCTCAAGCACTTCCTTCAAGTTCTTTAAGTGGTCCTCAAACGATCTTCCGACCACAATGATGTCGTCAAGGTACATTAGGCACGTTGACCAGGATAAGCCCTTCAAAACAGTCTACATAAACCTCTCAAATGTTGCAAGATCCACAAGCCAAATGGCATCACGGTGAACTGCCATAATCCAGTTCCGATAGTGAATGCAGTCTTTTCCTTATCCTCTGGAGCCATTTCGACCTGCCAATAGTTGCTTTTCAAATCTGAAGTCAAGAAAATCTTTGATTCAGCCAATGTATTCAGCGTGTCATCAATAAGAGGAAGTGGGTAACTATCTTTTCTTTCTCACGTTGTTCAGTTAGCGATAATCCACACAAAATCGTGTTGAGCCGTCCTTCTTTTTAACTAGCACCACCAGCGACGACCATGGACTGATCGAGAGCTCGATAACTCTTTCTTTTTCCATATCCAGAATCTAGAATTACCTATCCTTTCAGCTTCTTCTCTTTTGCCGATTGACGATTTGGCTGTGCATCCCGTGTTGATTTTATGTTGTACTACTTTGGTTCTTCCCTTGTCCCTTTCACCAGTTTCGAAAACATTGCTGAATTGTCCTAGTAGGTCCCTAACTTTTCCCCTTGTGTCATATCTAAGCTCTTTGAGCAGGTGGAAACCAGATTTTTCAACTCATCCGTGAACTCATGAGTGGCGGTTACCTCTGTTTCCGAAACTCGCCGAACCACAGAGGAAACTGACGAACAACTTTCTTCAACGCCACAGAGTAATTATTGACTTTCATGACTCTGTCTGACGGACATTTTTTTTTTCACATGCAAGAGGATATTACCAAATGCAATTCCTTGTCCTAACCCCGTGTCGTCTATTCTGGGCTCAAACATCATTGTGTCTCCTATCTCCACATTTCCATCCAATCGACCTACCAAAATCATCTCGCTTTTTTCTGGTATCGGAGAATCCTCTGCCAGTAATACCTACACGGACTATTTCCTCGTTTTTTCCATGCAGTATCACTTCTTCATTATCCACCATCAGAGTACCATTTTTAAAATCTAGTTGTAATCCTCTGGAATTCACGATGTCCAACTTCCCAGAGCATTTGAACGCTGTTCGAAGATGCCAATTTGCAGTTTTAACTTTGTTCGGTTTTATGACAATATCGGGCCTTATAATGGTTTTCGTCGCGCCTGTATTTATCAGCATGATGCGCTTTTCACCAATGATTAATCCATCCACATTAACGCTGTCCCCGCGGTTGACTGTGAAGACGCGACGTAGGCTTTTTTTCTTTGAGGCTTGCTGATAAATACAGGCCGACGATCGCCCCTTAGCATCGACTCTTTTTAGTTTTCCGTCGCCGAGGGTGGCCCCTGGCTCTTCTCTCTACAGCGTCTTTGGACATGACCCAGCATTCCACATTTCCAGCATCGTAGTTGTTTTTTTTTTTTTAATGTTATTTCTTAAATAAGTCTTTTCAAGACAGCCTTATCGACGAGGTACTCCTCCATACTGGCTTCGATTTCTCGAACACGAACTTGAGTTCTGCTCGACTGTTTGGCGGCTTCGAATTCGAGTCCACGCCTCAATGCGTCCACCAATCTGCTACGACGAGCCAATATCAGAGCCTGCCTTGTTTCCTGAGCTCGGAGTCCATCTAAGAATGCTTGAACAGCCAGCCGCTCCCTGACATTTTCCGGCGTTCCTGGATATGCATCAAGACGAGATAGGCGAGCAATATCGGCTTCATATTCTTGCAAAATCTCGTTCGATTTCTCACATCGGTTTTCCAGCTGAGTGTGATACACATGTTCCAAATGGGTTCGGCCATACGTTATATCCAGGTGTTTTACGAATGAAGCGTAGTCTTCTCTTTCCTGGCTGCCCAAAGTCTATAGAATATCTGTTGCTAGTAGCAGATCCACTTCTGGGATCCACGAAATGCAAGTGTGAGCGCCATAGCCTTCTCCGCTGCAGACCAACCATTTGCTCTCGCTGCTGCCTCAAACTGGCAGTGATAATTATTCCAAGAAGACCTTCCATCAAACTGTGGAGCTTTCGTGTGAACTCTGATGGTCTCCGTTTCCATCTGAGTATCAGAACAATTTTTCTGTAATTCTTTAGTTCTCCCGACGACGTCTAATCTAGTTGTTGTTGCGGTTCCTGATGTCTGAATGACTGCAAATTGTTGTCTCATATCATTTATTTCTCCTCGCATCTCACCCTCTTATCATCTTATCTTCCAGATTTACCATTCTTCCTTCAAAATAGCTACAGGTTCCTGTTAGTTGATCTCTTATTTTTCTTGAACTCTCATCTAATCGCTCTTGTAGGTTTCTAGAACCTTCTTCTAATTTATTGGTTAAATTTGTCTGCAATTGTTCCATAAATAAATTTATATCGACAGATCCAGGAAGTCTCTGTTGTAACTCGGTCTTTCTTCCATTTGTATCCATCTCACGCTTCTCCAGCTGTCTTTTAAGATCCGCTAATTTCAATTCACTCAAAAGCACTCTTTTTGTGGCCATTTTTAATGTCTAGTTGCTTTAGCAGTCACTTTTATAATAGGCATGATGACAGTAATTAAAACTCACTTAAATTATGTATTTATTCAATAAAACTTGCCTCATGGATTACGAAACACGCATTTATTTTTTCATTTAGAGCCAGATTGATAGTTATTTTGATAAAATTAAAGTACAAAATACGGATTTTCGCCATGATATGTTGAACACCAATCAGAACGAATGACGTCACTTTTGAGTAAACAAACGACTGGTGCCCTGTGATTTTATTTGCGATTCAATTTTGTTTATACCGTGTATTGTTTATACCGAATATTGAATCAAAAGTGAAATAGCGCGAGTCATGGAACAAAGGATTTACTAAGGCCAACAGTGCTAATATTCCTAAAACTTTATCACAAACCAACTTTTTTTTTGTTATCTACCGTCACCCCATCAAGCTGGTTGTCTACCTTCAAGGTAGACAACTACCTAGACTCGAGGGCTTTTTCCGCTTCAATACCTATAGGCGCGTTATCGTTTGTCTAACTTCAAAATGGGAGGGGTTCTAGAGAATAAGAAATTTGTCTTCTTCGCCAGTGATGACGTCAGTGGCTTCTTCTTGGTAGGTTCTTACACTTATCAATTTTCACTTTTCTGTAGCTAATGTCGTAACTGAAGTAGGTATGCTCTAATCTCTATCCGGATACTTAAATTTGTGTGTACTTTTGAACAATAAGGAAAGCGATTTCTGGTCTTCCAGTACCTATCAATAATAGCATTATTCTATTTCTACACAATTATTCCCATCAGGAATTATGACAGGCACTACAGGAGAAGCTGCTTTGTGTTTGCATTTTTGCCAACTTCTTAGTTACATTATATACTTTGTGACAAAATAAACGCATCACCCCATAGAAGTATAAATATTTGTTAACCTAATTCTGTACATACATATGCTTGAGCTATTGAAAGTAAAATTTAATTTGATAAAGCAGATGAGAATAAAGTAGCATTTAATCAATGATTATTATTTTCTACACCAAAATTTGTTAAAAATTATGCACTTTTAGTGATAGCTTCGTTTAACTTTGTGATTTACTTTCCAGATTGTCGTCGCTACTCTTGCATTCGCTTCCGCGATGCCAGGAGAAGAATCCGTCATCCAAAAAAGGGGTCTTTTAGAACTAGAGCACGCTCCTGCTCTATTGCACGCTGCACCAGTCATCCAGAAAAGCTATGCCACTCCAATCGTCCACGCCGGCCCTGTAGTCACCAGAGTGTTTGAAGCTCCTCCAATCCCATTGGTCAGAAGCGTCCACGGGCCTATTATCACTGGACCTTTGATTACTAGAGGCATTGGACCTCATATATTAGGTGCTAAACCCCTTCTTCACGCACCCATTATCAAAGCTGCTCCTATTATTTCCGCTCCTATTGTAGCTCACGCTCCTATTCTTAGTTACGCTCCTAAAATCGCAGCACCTATTTCTCTGGGTTACGACCACCATTGGTAATAAGCCACAAAAATATCTGTTTCTTTTACTATAGTTTGTACATATTCTGTTGTGTTTTTTCTTTTTGTGATGATCTTAGATAATAAATAAAAAAATTCCTGCATTTTTTGTTTGATTTGCATAAAGAGACGGATAGCTAGAGAAAATAGTTTTTTGACTCTGAGAATTCTCAAGAAAATGATTCCCCTGATAAAGTGAATGGATGACCGAATACCTACTATAGGTATGCGATAGTAAAGTTTGTCTAATTATTTATTATTATTGCTTAAGGTAAGTAGGTAGGACCTCGAAATTTGTACTACGGAACAACAGTTTGTAGCTTGCGAATTCTTTAAGAAATTTACTTTTCAGACGTTCTAAGCAGAATTTGGTCCATTTAATAATTTTTCGTTTTATTATGGTAGCGAATTTGCTGTTGAAGATGTTGCTCCTTTTTGAAAATCTTCCTTTATATTGTCATAGGTACAAGTTTATTAAATCTCTTCTTAAATTTTCGTTAGCACTTTCAATGAAAAAAATGACGATTGCGCCAAGATTAGGTTATTTCGAACTGCCTACCTACTTCTAAAATCTGTAATACTTTTCCATCGAAAAATTTCGTAATATTCAATAAGCGGGTGAGTTTTTTAGAAGCCCTACTCCGGCTACAGATTGAACCGTTCGGAACTCACCGCAATGTCGTTTAAGGTTATGTTAGATTATAGTTCACATACCGTGTGTGGCTAAATTCAGCTGGTGTAGGCAACATGGTGGAATGGTAGAAAAAGCTGTGTTGTTAAATTAAACAGGATTTGGCAAGCTGTGGTTTGGCATTGGCATGAATGAATCGCAATTGCCCTTTGAATATAAAGTGGTTTTATCAGGGCCGCCGCTAGGGTGTTGGATGCCTGTGTGCCCAGATAATTTTCGCCGCCCCACTCCCTCTAAAGTACAAATTAAGGGCGTTGGAATGGAATACAGTTTTTAGACTTTAAGATACTGTATGAGTCGTGTCAAAGATTCGTGGTAAAGATGAAGGAAGGACCACACAAAAGATAGACGCGCAACTGTAGTGACGTCACAATGCTATCGGCGTTTGACAATAATAAGCAATCCTCTTTGTGTCAATGGTTCGTCGGCTGTCATTGTCATTGGCTGTCTTCCTCTTTCTCTCTTCGTTACATTTTTCTTCTCTCTGGTGTAACGAAATTTGCCAATACGTGACGCGTCTTTCATATCACTTTCATATCAGACCGCCCGCCGCCTTAAGAAGTTTCACTCCAAAAACCTTATTAGGTTGTTCCGCTGAATTGTCCGAGTGCGTCTGTCGCCGACATTTGCATTTGATAATCCTATAAAGAATAAAATTTTAAAACTCAATTGTTTATTTGCTTGTATTGTGATATTAGGTAGGGTTGTACCTAATACAAATTTGTGAAGAAGTACTTTCGGTTGATTTTCGTTATTAAAGCTTGATGGTTTATTTGTTTGAGAGATTTATTTTTGATAAAAGTCGATGGGTACCTATGAATTATTTTGAAGTCAATTTTCTTTAGGCGGCGGTATATTTTGTCGAAAATGGAGAGTGATTTGAAGGACGCGTCAGTTAACGTCATGTTTTGGAAAATTTCGTTAAACGAGAAAGAAGGAAGATAGAACGTAGAGAGACGCAAAAAAAAACAGCTTATGACAATGAAGGCCGACGAACGATTAACACAAACCAAGGATTTATAAACAAGGAGGATTCCCTATTATTGTCAAGCGCCGATACCCTTGTGACGTCACGACAGATACGCGTCTCCCTTTTGCGTGGTCCTTCATTTTTACCCCGAATCATACGCTAAGTCTAAAATTTTTACGAGGGGGGGATGGTTTTCAATAAGTTTCACTTCTACCACGTGTGCACATGATATTTTTTTTGCATCAGGATCGTCGGCGGCAACACTTTTTTTTAATCGGCCGCCTGTGTGTTTTGAACACACTGCACACATGCGATGGTAGCGGCGGCCCTGGGTTTTATATTCAAAGCAATCACTACATCCGTGGGAGTGCACCATTTTGGTGAATTTAGCCACACGCGGATTCCTTTGCAGTTTCATTGTGCGATGTTGCCGGATGAAAAACGTATCAAAATAAAAGTGCAAACGATGTTAATGTGCCTTTTCGTAAAAATAATTCCCATCCACCGGCGGACGTGTCTTTCCATGTAAGCTTCCATCAAATCCTACATTTGTCAAAATTTGGATACACAAAATCAGAAAGGATACTAGCAAGAGAAGGGGAAATCCACGGCCCTCATACAAAATAATCCACGTTGACCACGTTCAAGTTTAGTTTGCGGAAGCTGTTTGTTTCCAAAATAATTTACCGCTCTCCTCATAGCGAATTTCTGCAAATGAAGCAGTGACTTTTTCCACATTTTCTTTCCAATTTCAAATTCCCTGCGTTTTTATTAGGTCTGTTTCTGCAGAAATCACAAACCAGTCGGAGCGAATTTCATTGGTTGAAAACAGTCAGAAAATTAGTTTCAACCAATGAAATTCACTCTGACTAGTTTGTGATTTCTGCAGAAACAGACCTATTATCATCAACATTTTACCGATGGATCCACCATTCTATGTCGGTCATTGTCATTTTCCATTCACTAAACAAAGAAAGCTAACTCATTGGTGGAGTCACCGATTAGAATAAAAACGATGGAATTGACCTTTTGTTTGGACGCCATATTGCGGTGCGCGAACATAGTTGCCAAAAGAAGAAAACTAAAATTACCAGCGGGCTGTCAACATTAAAAACAAAAGTAACTAAATTATTGATTCTTGCTATCCTTTTTGTTTGTTTACTTTCTGTTTGAGAAAAGTTTTTGGATTTAATTTACTTTCTGTCTCTGATTGATGGAAGTAAATAGGTAGATATTTTATTATTTCTATTCTGCCCAATACAAGCTAAAATTGACCTTTTGTTTCGACGCCATCAGGGATGTGCGTCTACACGTAGACTTTCATTGTCTACTTTACGTGTAGACAATGTAGACAACGTGTCAACAATGTAAAATAATATAAATGACGTTTAATTCTAACCTCACACTTTCCTTTTTTTAATTTATTTTTATTTTTTTATTGGTTTTTCTGATATTTTATAATCAGTGAATGCTTGTATCGAAGTGATAGTGATATTATAGGCTCCGTGTCATTTGCGCGACAGCCGTTTGCGCGAGGGAGAAAAGCGCGATACGAAAAGCGCGAGGGACAAAACCGCGACGGAACAAAAACGCGACTGGAGAAAAGCGAGAGTAACAAAAACGCGACTGGATAAAAGCGCGAGGGACAAAAACGCGAGGTACAAAAGCGCGACAGAACAAGATCCCGACTGAACAGAAGCGCGAGAGACAAAAACTCGAGGGGCAAAAGCGCGACGGAACAAAAACACGACTGAACAGAAGCGCGAGGAACAAAAACGCGACTGAACAAAAGTGCGAGGGACAAAAACTCGAGAGACAAAAGCGCGACGGAACAAAAACGCGAGGGACAAAAGCGCGACAGAACAAAAACGCGACCTGAATGAAGAGTGATGGACAAAAACGCGACTGGATAAAAGCGCGTTGGACAAAAGCGCGAGGAACAAAAACGCGGCTGGAATAAAGCGCGATTGGATGAGAACGCTCGACTATCTACGAGGAATATAGAACGCTTTCCAAAATACAAGACATTAAGACATTCTCAGTGGCTCCGGTTCAAAAGAGCGATATTTGAAATAGTGACATTAAAAAGGCGACATATTTTTAAAGCGATACATCAAAATAGCGATATTCAAAACAGCGACTTATTAAAATAGCGACATTCAAAACAGCGACATGTGAAAAAAGTAGCGACATATCAAAAAAGCGACATTCGAAAGCGCGATACTTGAAACAGCGACATTGCAGAAGAGCGACATATGTAAAGAACGAGATTTAAAACAGCGACATCAACAACGGCGACCTCTAAACAAAACAGGGACACATCAAATTGTATCAATAATAATCAAAAAAATGCAGACTACTCAAACTAACCCGTTCCCCTAGTGCGATCTTGTCCTCGTAAGTTAGCATTTTATTTGAAAAACAAGGTTGACATTTTTTTTAAATAAAATGCTAACTTACGAGGACTAGATCGCACTAGGCGGACGGGTTAGTTTGGGTTAGTTTGAGTAAGTCTGCAATAAAATGCTAACTTACGAGGACTAGATCGCACTAGGTGGACGGGTTAGTTTGGGTTAGATTGAGTAAGTCTGCAATAAAATGCGAACTTACGAGGACTAGATCGCACTAGGCGGACGGGTTAATTTGGGTTAGATTGAGTAAGTCTGCAATAAAAGCTAACTTACGAGGACTAGATTTTACTAGGCGGACGGGTTAGTTTGGGTTAGATTGAGTAAGTCTGCAATAAAATGCTAACTTACGAGGACTAGATCGCACTAGGCGGACGGGTTAATTTGGGTTAGATTGAGTAAGTCTGCAATAAAAGCTAACTTACGAGGACTAGATTTTACTAGGCGGACGGGTTAGTTTGGGTTAGATTGAGTAAGTCTGCAATAAAATGCTAACTTACGAGGACTAGATCGCACTAGGCGGACGGGTTAATTTGGGTTAGATTGAGTAAGTCTGCAATAAAATGCTAACTTACGAGGACTAGATGGCACCAGGCGGACGGGTTAGTTTGGGTTAGTTAGAGTAAGTTTGCAATGAAATGCTAACTTACGAGGACTAGATCGCACTAGGCGGACGGGTTAATTTGGGTTAGATTGAGTAAGTCTGCAATAAAAGCTAACTTACTAGGACTAGATTTTACTAGGCGGACGGGTTAGTTTGGGTTAGATTGAGTAAGTTTGCAATAAAATGCTAACTTACGAAGACTAGATCGCACTAGGCGGACGGGTTAGTTTGGGTTAGATTGAGTGAGTCTGCGTTTTTTCGATTATTATTGATTCAATTTGTTCATCACTTATTCTATAGTTCTAAGTAGGACAACATGATAAACTTTATTAACAAAAAAACCAAATAGATTAGTTAAAAATACAAATTATGGAATGCTAAGTTTAAATGGTTGAGTTTAAAGCTACTGCTTTAAGGGGATTTTGTACGTT